CGGGGGGATGGAAAGATGGAGGGGGGATGGAGGGATGGAGGGGTGGAAGGACGGAGGGAGGGATGGAGAAATGGGGGGAAGAATGGAGAGGTGCAGGGAGGGCTGTGGGGAGAAATGAAGGCAGGGATGGAAGGATGGATGGAAACATGGAGGGATGGAGGGAAGAATGGAGAGATGGGGATGAAGGAGTTGGAGAGGATGGAGGGACGGAGAAATGGAGGGAAGAGTGGTGAAATGAAGGGATGGAGAGGTGTAAGGATGGAGGAGTGGAGAATGGAGGATGGAGGGATGGAGAAATGGAGAGAAGAATGGTGAGATAAAGGGATGGAGGGAGAAATGGAGGGATGGATGGCTGGATGGACAGATGGATGCTTGCTCTGGCTCTCTCCCCTCCAGGGCACTGGCAGGCTGGAGATTCTGGTGCAGATCCTGCTGCAGACCCCTCTCACCCTGACAGGCAGCTCAGGCTCTGCTGGCAGTCCCTGGGGCACAGCGATGACACTCAACCCAGCACCAGCACCCCGGGGTGCAGCAGGCACCCAGGACAGGGTGCTGTGCCCCGATGCTGAGGAGATTCACCTACCCAAGCCATGTCTGGCAGTGGGACCTGCTGGGGGCTGTGCCACTGCTGCCCCTCATTCCCCATCACCCCCAGTCAGCACCCGCCCAGCACCCCCAGTCTGGGCCCAGCTCCACCACTGCTCCCCAAACTGGAGGAAACTGGTCAGCTGCCACATTTAACCCTATCCTCTCTGCCTCCCCCTGGCACGGCCCCATGTGAGCAGCAGGGCCAGGGCAGCTGCTGCACCCGGCTGGCCCTGGGGAGGCTGCTGGATCTGCCTGGATCCGGCGCCTGGCTCCTGCTTCCATAATTTATAAGGCAGGTTGGGTTTCGCACTGGCAGCTGGGAGGGGGCTTGGGGGAGGAGACACACACACTCTCACTCACACTCACACTCATTCACACTCACACCCTCATCACACCCTGCCCAGGGGGTGTCAAACGCAAGAGAAGGGGTCAGTGGCTGGAGGGGCCAGTGGCTGCAGGGATGTGCAGATCCACGGCCTCGTCCGGGTGACACCTCTTTTCCCCACAGACTGAGGAACTGGTGACCCTTCCTCCCACAGTCCCTTGCCCCCCCCAGCAGTGCCATGTCCCCTGTGATGCCTTGTCCCTGTGGGGTTTTCCCATGGAATTGCCAGCCAGCAGCAGCCCAGGAGCAGCGGGTGGTGGTCCAACACCTGGGGACGTGCTCTGTATCCAGAGCAGGCCCAGTACCAGCAGAGCTGGCAGGCACAGGCAGGCAGTGGGGCCCCAGATGGTCCCTGTTGTCTCCTTGGCCCTGGCACAGCCCCATTGTCACTAGCCCCTGCTAGCTCCAGGCCCAAGAGGGGACACATTGTCATGTCCCCTTATCCTGGGGACATTTTCATGCCTGTAAAGAGACTGGAAAAGTCCCTGGGCATGTGGAGTCTCCATGCACACACTCTCAGTGGAAGGGACACAGCTGGCATGCCACCAGCCCAGGGGGTACCCACACCCTGGGGTGCCTGATGGGGAGTGCCTGGTCACCCCACTTCACCCTGTGTCACCATCACAGACCTCCTGAGCCTCAAGCTCCCCGGGACTGTCCCTCCTGCGTGCCAGGAAGGTGTTGACCGGTGTCCCCATGCTCAGGCCAGGCCAGAAGCTGGGAGCCAAGTGACAAGGCTCCCCCAATACTCCTCCACCTTCCCATTCCCACCACCCTCTGGATGCTGAAGGCTCTCACCCAGCCTGTCCCCATGGCGACGGGACCCTGGGCTGAGCATCCCCCGTCCAGCCGGAGCACCCCCGGTCCGGTCGGGCCCCGGTGCCGGGGCTGGACCGCAGTGCGCCGGGGGCCGTCGCCGCAGCAACCGCCGTCGCCTAGCGCCGCTGTCTCCCGGTAACCCGTCGCTTAGCAATGGGGGATTTTCACAGCTCGGGATGAAGAGTTGAAAGTTATTTTTAGCCCGGGCTGCGAATCAATAGGCAGCTCCATTCGCCGCCTCGCAGGATGCACGCGCAGGGGCCCGGCGGTGGCGGCGACAGGGGGATGATGGGGGGAGAGGGGTGGTCTGTCCAGCCTGGGGTCACCACCCCGGCATGGCCCACAGGGCCCCCCAGGGCTCGGTCCCCTTTGTGCTGACTCCAGGGCCCAGAGCCCCTGGCTCTTCCCCACCAAAGCTCTGACCCCCCGGGGCTCCCCCTCCAGTCCGTGTGCAGGTGAGGGTGGGTGAGGACACAGCGACTCTCAGGCTTCTGTGGGGACTGTCACATGGCCATGGGGATGATCACACTGCTGTGGGGATTGTTAGCTGCTGTGGGAACCCTAATCTTACCATGGGGACCCTCATCTCACTGTGAGGGCTCTCACCTTACTGTGGGGACCCTCAAACAGCCATGGAGGACCCTCATCCAGCTGTTGGGAGTCTCACCCTTCCATGGGAGGTTTCTTCCATGGTGGCTTCTGCCACCAGTGTGGACATCCACCTTGTCATGGGGAACACTGCCTTGCAATGAGACCCTCTGCTTGCCATGGGATCCTCTCCTTGCCATGGAGACCACTGCCTTGTCATTGGGACCCTCTCCTTGGCATGAGGACACCAGCTTTGACATGTGGACCCTCTCCTTGTCTTGGGGATCCCCACCTTGCCATGAGGACCCCTACCTCACAAAGGGGACCCCTACCTTGCCATGGGGACCCTTATCCTGCTTTGGGGACCCTCATCTGTGGTTCCCCTCCAGACAGCTTCCCTGAGCTCCCCAAGTCTCTCCAGGGCTCGTTCCCACTGCCGGGGCACCAGCCTGGGGGTCTGGATGCTCAGGGGCATTGAGAGGGGACAGAGCCTGTTCAGCACCCGGGTTCCATGGGGAAGGGCTCAGGTTCTCCCTGCATGTCCCCAGGGAAGGGCTGGGAGCTGAGATGAGGCTCCTGAGCTATTTTTTAAAGATGAGGTGGGTGCCTCCCACAGCCGCATCTCCTTCGGGTGCTCGGCTGGGCGGGAGAGCTCCCCACGCAGCCGGGGGGGACGGGCAGTGGGATGGGGAGAGGCTGAGCACCCCTAGCCTCTGAGCAGCCCTCCAAGGTCCCAACCCCCCCGAGTCTCCCTTTTGCCTTTCCAGCAGGGTTTTTGCCCCTGGGCACAGCCCAGCCTGGAGCATCCCTGTCCGTGCCATCACCCACCCATGGCACAGGGTGGAGGGTGCCCAGAGCCACCCAACAGGGACCCTTCGTGACAGCGTGGATGTCCCAGGGACCTGTCAGGGGCCCGAGGTTGCTGGATGGTGGCTGCCCAGGAAAGGAGAAACCTTGGGGTGACCCAGCAGGAAGAGGAGGATCACCAAAAAAAAGGAGGAGCCGGGGTCCCTCCTGCATGGAGCCCAGAGGTGTTCTGGGGTGGCAGATGGGTCTGGGGCAGAGCAGACCTGGATCGGTCACAGCAGGTCCAGAAGGGACACAGAAATGCTCAGAGGGCTGGAAGAACCTCTCCTGGGAAGAAAGGCTGGGAGAGCTGGGTATGTCCAGCCTGGAGAAGACCTTCAGGCATCCTGGAAATACTTAAGGGGGCTTGGAACAGCGATGGAGAGAGGCTTAGTGCCAGGACCTGTAGAGTCAGGAGAAGGGGGTGACAATTTTAATTGGAAGAGAGTGGATTTAGATTGGATATAAGGAGGAAACACGTTGCAGGGGAGGCAGTGAGAAGCTGGAGGAGCTGTGGGTCCCCACTGGGCTGGAGCAGCCCGGCCCTCCGGGAATGCCTCTGCCCAGGGCAGAGGTAGGACCGGGTGGTCTTTGAAGGTCCCACTGGACGAGTCGATGCTCTGCTTCTCTGCGGGAGGTGGCTTTTCCCCGCCCCACCCGAGTCCCCTGGGGTCCACCGCGGTCCCCCCGCCCGGGGGTGGCGATTCGCGGCCACCGTGCCCGCGGTCACCAGAGGGCACTGCGAGCCCGAGCATCCCGGAGACACTCGGGGGGACCGGGGCCAAAAGGGGGCCCAGAGCGACCCGAGAGCCGCCACAGGGGCCGGAGGCTTCGGGGAGCTCTCGGGGGGCGGCCGGCACCCAGGCTCTCCCAAGTCCCCCCCAAGTCCCACGGGGACAACCCCCCCTATGGCAGCCAGGGACAAAGGGGACACGGCAGGGCGCTGGGGACAGAGTCAGGGGGCACGGCCACAGGCCAGAGCTCCAGGCACGGCTGGCATCCCCGCGGGTGCCCAGAAATGCTCAGCCTCATCAGCTGGTCCGGAGATCTGAGACAATAGCGGGGTGCTGGGGGGGCTTTGCCCGCTCCCAGCTCAGCCCCAGCTCTGGTGGGTGTTCCAAAGGGGCTCCTGACCCCCCGGTTGCCATGCCCCAAATGAAGGGGTGGCCCATGCCATGTGGAGGGAAGCCAGGACTGGTGTTTTGGTCGGGCTGATGCCGAGGTTTAACCAGCAACACCCAGTTAAGGTGGGTCGGGGGCCGTTGGGGGTCCGGGGGTGCAGACCCAGCCCTGGGTGCTGGCATTAGGGCAGACACTGCCATGTGCCTGTGGCAACAGTGGCACCCACTTCCAGCCTCAAACACCCATGTCCCACCTCCCTGCATGCTGGGGTGTCCCAAGGGAACATCCCCCGAGGGTGCTGAGCACCCACCCGGGTGGGGGATCGGTATCGATGGGTTGAGGTTCCTGTCTGGGGACTGCAGTGCCTCACATCTCACCCCTGGTGCCACCTCATCTCTGGTGTCACCCCATCTCTGGCGCCACCTCACCACTGGTGCCACGTCACCCACCCCTGGGCACCCGGCTGAAGCCATTTGTGTGTTCCCGGCTGGATTCCCTGCCCAGCTCCAAGCCCAGCTCCCCTCACTTCCCCATGGTGACAGCGGATCGGCCCCAGGACCGTGTCCCCCCATTCCGGGGTCAC